TTATGCTCTAAAAGATGTGACCAAATAGGGGGTAGAGAAGAGAGATTGGGAATGGCTGGTCAAGGAGCATTTTTTTACTGAAAAATTTAAGGTATGATTTCATAGCTATTTATTAACATTATTGTTGGGCGAATTCTGCAACAATAGCATCTAGAGGGCCCAAATACTTTGAACCTACATAAAATATCATTAGTAGGTAATATGTAAGCTAACATTCTTACATAAAAAGCAAACTTTTAAAGGGAGTTTAGGATGCCAGCTTTTCATAGTTGTGAGAGTAACTGATTAGAACTTCCTTAAAGTTCTCCTCGTAGATTTACAAGAGTATTTTTCACTTTGATATGGAGTCCAAACCGGAAAGACCTCTTGTCCTTCATAAATTTGTATGCTGGTTATGTAGTATTTTATTAATGAAATTCTGCATACACTACAGATTGAATAGAACATGCTCTTATAAAATATTTGAAACATGATGATACAACCAACACTTATACAACATTATTAGAATTTAGAAATACAACATAACTGTAGCAAAATCGAAAATTGTGCTGGCAAGCTTACAGTTTATGGTGTAAGTTCTCATAAATGGACCAATGGAGTTATACTTTCATCTTCTTTCCTATAAAACATATCCTACACGACGTCATAGGAATTTTCAATCCTTACTTGAGCAAGAGAGCAGCAACAACAAAAAGTCAAAGTGTACAATCAGTCGCAACAGGTATTAAATAGAGGCAAATTATATCATTTTCTTTTCTCATTTGAATCCTCCATTTTGTCAGTTTATATAATGCGTTGATTTACCAGATGTTGTCTTATTGTTACATTGCTTTCATTTTACTGTATGAATTTGGTGTGATTGTTGTATGAAAATGGACAATAATTTGTTGTTGCTGCTCGTTAAATGCACTTGCTGCTGCATTTTTTTATGGTAATTTGTCTTGCAAATTTGTTATGTAAATTGATAAACCAAAACTGTACCGAACCAAATAAGAAATACTGAACCGTACTGAACTACTTTGGTACTGTATTTGGTATACACAATTAATAAATCGAATACCGAAATGCCGAACATAAGTTCTTAAATACCAAACCGAAGTATCGAACGCCCACCCTTAATGGGATTTGCTTCCCAAAAGTCACACTCATTATGCAGGTTTTAGTGTGACAAGATTGTGTGATGTAGAACTATCATTTAATCGTCTTATGATCATCGTCTCCAGATATAGGAAATTTAATGTGTCGTATTCTTGCTACTATACTATCTACCGTTATGTCATATGATCTTTGTATTTTTTCACTTTCTCGTTTATAGCGATCAATGTAGCCTTTAATTAATCTGATTTTTCTTCTTTAGTTTTTCTTTGTTACTAAACTGGCATAAATTTGTTATTTTAACAGATCAAAAATTTGAAGTCCGAAGAACTTATCCTTGAAGAAAGTGTAGAGCAAGTTGAAGTACAAGAGGTTTTTGGTTCGTCCGCGATTGTTTAAAGACACTGTCTTATGTACATATGTATGTTGCAATTTTACTTTTTCTCTTTTTTAGGAATTGGTAAAAATGATGTTTAACTCAATCACTTTATGCTTCCAGTTGTCTCTTGGCTGGGTTTGCATTATTTTTACTTTTCATTGTTTTTAGTAAGATGGGTTTCTTACAATCTGGATTGGTTTCTGGAAAATATGATACTTTAGTTCTTTGTATTAACAACATATCAAGTATTTTGTTTATCTTATAACGTTGTTGAGCGTGTATGAAAGCATATAAATAATTATTACTATTCATGTAATTTAAATTTTCTTCATTATATATATTATATTTTCATATTAGCGAAGAAAAATGTGGTCATTAAAACTCTTTCACAAGGTTCTCAACCAGATAAATGACTATTAACGAAGAGAATTTTGATTGTAAAAGTAATTATACAATTAACGAAGGTAATATCGGTCGCTAAAAGCACTCGAATTGACATAATACATTATTGTCAATAAAGACTTTTAACGACCGGATAACAA